TCTAAGGAATGAGGCCTGGAAAACTACAAGACAGAGGACTTATGGACTAATTAAAAATTGCTGATGAGATTTGAGAACTGTTGACATCCTGACTTGATTAACTCTTGGTGGAAAAACAACTTGTTTACATTGCCAAAGACAATGGTTCTTTTAAGTAAGGAAGTCAACACTGTGGCTCCTTACAGAAATGTTGACAAGGCTCCTGGATGAGGAAAGCCAATCAATCAGAATCAACATCTGTCCAAGAACTGATGGAATCTGTCTGTCAGTAATCTACAACTTTCAGAACCACATCAACAGGAAAAACTACATAAAAGGACCCTTCTCTCTCAGAGAGTGTGTGTCAGATCAACTGAACACCATTTCTGAACGCCATCGTGAACTGCTGCCTCCTCTCAAGAAGCTGATCATCTTCAGCAAGAAGAATGGTAAGAATGCTTGATGAATGAATGGATGATGAATGAACGATTGAATGTTAGAGTATATGTGTAAATGTTAATGCAATATTCCCCTTTGTCTATGTAACCAATATAATTATTATAAAACCTAGTACTGGAGTCTGTGTCTATTTTTTTCTCTCTGAAAGTGCCTAATGCAACCTGTCTCACTAAAAGCGGAATAAAAGAACCTATTAAACGTTTCTAAAAGTATTTATGACATATTTGGCGTAGTCGGCAGGATTCCCTGACAGGACTTTGTTTCCTGAAAGTGAGACAGAATGTGTTAGAGTAACATGGAGAAATAAGATAGACACCTGGTAGGAAAATCAGTAAAAAGCAGACTAAATTTTAAAGGGTGTGGGAATATCCCCATTTTCTGGAAAAGTATGCCTTGGTTGATTAAGAAAAGAAAATCCCTGAATGGAGGGGGGAAGGATCCTTCATATGGGAATCTGTTTTTAATAGAGCCAGAGAAGGCTAAGGATTTCACAGAAAGTTTAGGGAAAGATCTCTCCAATGAGGGAAGGGATTGGATGCTGAATATTTAACACCACAGCACTCCAAATGCCCAGGCAGAGGATGGCATTCAAAAAGGGAAGGAATGGCTTAGTAGCCAGCTAATAGGAGAGGGCTCTTCTGTTGCAGAAGTAATATACAAAGGTACAGGTGTTGCAGTTCAGGAAGGAGGCATTTTTGACCCTAGTATTCAGAGGAGTGCCACTATAGTGCTAATGAGCACTGCTTTGGAACTCTTGCAGACGCACCTTAGGCGAGCTAAGGAAGAAAATAATGAAATAAGAGAACTTTTACAGGAAAAGACTAGACAGCTTCATGATATGAGTCTAAAACATTTGTTGCAGGGAGAAAGATTATTAGAAGCAGTGAAAAAAAACAGGGGAGATGGATCTTCTGTTAGATGAAGTAGAAAAAAAGCGAGATGAGGTGCAAAGTTTAAAGGCACAAGTGAGCATTTTAAGGGCTGTGGTTAAACCAAAAGAAGAAGAAGGAAAAGGCTTAGAATTAACTAAAAAGTTTAAGCACATGGCTTGTCAGAAGGGAAAGATTTCAGAGGAGGACCCAGGTACAGGATTTAATTATTCCTGTTCTGATGATGAAAGCAGGGAAGATCCATGTTATCAGCCAGTTAGAATAAAAGCATATCGGAAGACAACATATAATTATGATAGATCTGGAACTAGGAAAGGCCAATCTGTAGTTTATGAACAGATGTCAAGTGGAGAATTGAGGGAAATCAAGGGAAAAGTAGGGCCAATTGGAGATAACATAATAAGGTTTGCTGTTTCCCTGTTGGAAGTGAGAGATCAACATGATATGCAAGATGAAGAATTTATGAGGCTTCTGCGCAGGTATTCAGAATTACAGGAGCATGTAGATCAAGTAGATAATATAGGACCTGTGAATGCTTTGAGAGAATGGGTTCTGGAAAATGGAGGGGGAAGAGCAAAGAGAGAAGTTGTAAATTGGGCCACATTCATACGCCTTTCATACAATCTCACTCAAACCATACAGAACATGGATCATTACCAATTACTTAAAGATTTACATGAGATAGGACATGAAGGATTTCAGAAAGTTTGGAATAGAAGTAAGGTGTTTGGCAGTTGGAAAGGGAAAGGAAAAATGTTGCAAGAAGTGTTAGATAGCTGTGTACCATGTGCTTTGGAAAAAAGAGAATATGGAAAAGCAGAAGGGGTGGTTGTACCCCAAAGACAATGGGAACCATGGGGGACTATTTATATAGATTACATAGATAAGTTACCCCGGACAAAGGAAGGATTTCAGTACTTGTTGGTAGTAATAGATGGATTTTCACGATAGCCAGAGGCCTACTCAACGAAAAATAATGGAGCAGTCGCAACAGCAAAACAATTGTTTAATAACTTATTTTGCAGAATGGGGGTACCATCAATTATCAGTTCAGATAGAGGGGGTGCGTTTGTAGGAGAAGTAATGAATACCATGGAGTCATCCTTGGGAATAAAAAGGAAATTACACATTTCCTACAGACCTCAAAGTTCAGGAAAAGTGGAAAGGGCAAATCAGACTATTAAAACTATGCTTCGCAAATTGGTAAAAGAAAATGGGAAAGATTGGGCAGATAAGTTACCCTTAGTCCTAGCAGCAATGCGAAGTAGTCCGATTGGACCATTGGGGTTTTCGCCTTATGAAGTTCTGTTTGGAGCATCAATGCATTTGGGATTTCCTGCGGAATATCATAAGTGGGATGAAGACTTTTGGTTACAGGCACTGAAGGAAAGGCACGAATATAGAGAAACAATTAAGAGAGAATGGTCAGAAGCGCAACAGGTCAAGATGGAAACAGAAAAGGACCAGATAATGCTACAACCTGGGACGCAAGTAGCTTACTTATACTTGGGAACTAAAGAGCACCCACTTCGCCCGAGGTGGAGAGGACCATATGTGATTTTGGATTCTATTTACTCTCACTCTTATTTATTACAGGTCAATGACAAACAGAAGTGGGTTCATCGGAATCAGATAAAACCTTGGAAAGCTGTGCAAGCGAATTAACACTTCTATTTGGTTTATAAACAGGAATGAAGGTGGCCACCAACTAAAAGAAGACAAAGCTTATGAAGAGTTTGCAATTGGAGCATTAATTTGAACAGTGTATATATATATATATCGTTTGTGCTTTATAGTTTTTGAAGAACTTAAGTGGAAAGAAAGAGTGCACTAATCATGTCAAAAATAATGATACTGGTGATTCATATTATTATCTGGTACCAGAGTCTACTTGCGGTTGTTTTTCCAGAGGTCAGAGCTGCTCAGCATCAGACCTTTCGAATAACAAAGCAAATGAAATATCAAATTGCAGAATTTGTTAAGATTAAGAGAGAGTCTGGTTTACATGGATGGGAAAGAAAACACTATAGGCAATACTCTGTTATGCCAACTATAAAGTGTGAAAACACTACGATGGTGGAATATGAAACTATATTATGGCATTTTGAAGGGGTAGAAGTGGGAAAAGTTTACCCAAGTGTATATCAAAAGAAGAGGCCATTTGTACTATATAAGGGGACAGTTGCTTTAACACAGATGGAAACAATAAATGGTATAAATTACAAGATTTATTGTATAAAGGGTATAGAAGATATAAAACAGGAATGGCGTTTTGAAGCAGATCAACCATGTGAAACATTCTGTGAGATACAGTTTAATTGTACTACAGACTTACAATTCATTATGGTAGAAGGAAAGACACTGAATACAACGGATGGAAAATGTCGAGCTCCAAATGGAGAAGTGCTGCCTTTAGTCTATGGGATTTTTCAAATAGCAAATGTAACACAGCGTTCAATAAAGAAAAATGTGCCCTCTTTGGTAAAATCATGGCAAGAAGCCAAACCAATAATCATAGGACCTCTATTTCATAAGTGGGATTTACATTTAAACATGACATCTTTAAATATAAGTTCTTGGAAACCTGAATGTGCAAAATATGTTAAACAAATGTATGAAATTAATGAAAAAGGAGTTGGATCTTGGAAAAGACAAAGACGGGATCTTTTGAATATGATGTTAGGAGGAATAGGTACTGCAGTAGGCGTGACTAATTCTTTAGATATAGAGAAAACTGCAAATAAATTGTCAGCTTTAGGAAGGTTAAAATGGAAGACTTTAAAAATGACAGGACAAGATTTTGAGAATGGGTTTAGATCACGGCAGATCTTAGTTTGAAGGAATTTCTACAGCTAAATAAAACATTATATGCAATAAAGGATCTGAATTATGACAGTTCGAGATTGGTAGGGGAAGCTTTGACATGTATAGTTTTACAACAAATGACTATTAATTTGGTAGAAAATCTAAAGATTGCTTTGCTGGGAAATCATGCTAATTTATTCATACAAATGGGAAGATTAGAAGAGTTGGTTTTCACAGATTTTGAGGGATGGTATAAGCTGATAACTTATAAAATAGATGGAAGCATTTGGAAACTTGAAATATTAAGTCTAGAGAAAAGTAGGAAACATGAGACGCTTCAAACAATGGTATGTGACACAACAACAACACCTGTGGTAATAAATGGGATATTTTGAATGCCTTATTTTATGTCAAATAAGATATTGTGTTCAGATACAAAGAGTTATAAAGGAAACACTACAATAGATATAAAGCGATGTGAATCATGGGAAGCAGGTTATGTGTGCCCACCACACTTAACGCAGATAGAACCATGTGCTATAAATATGGAAGATGGTATATATAGGTTACAAAAAATGGGTAATTATACATTCATACAAGATACAGGAATGGAGTGTCTTTGTGTTACTTGTTCAGCCAATGTTATGGTCTGATGGACATATAATAGAACCTGGTAAACAAAATCAAGAGTGTAAATGTAATGTTACTTATATTCAAAATCTGGTGACGGGAAATATTGTTTTTGCTACAGAAATGATTAAGAGTAAAATATATTTAGAATTAGAGGAACGGAAGCTGTCATTTCCAGACCAGATGGGATGGCTCGAGAAATATGCTGCCTACCGGGGGCANACATTCATGGCACATTTAAGGTTTCTCCCCAGTATGAGTCCTTTGATGTTTCTGTAAGTTTGAACTACGAGTAAAGCTCTGTCCACACTCCAGGCATTTATAGGGCTTCTCTCCAGTGTGAGTCCGCTGATGAGAACGTAGAACTTTACTATAATTAAAGCTTTTTCCACACTCCAGGCATTTATAGGGCTTCTCTCCAGTGTGAGTCCTTTGATGTGAACATAGACTTGTATTATTAGTGAAGCTCCGTTCACAGTCCCAGCATTTATAGGGCTTCTCTCCAGTGTGAGTCCTTTGATGGGAACGCAGACTTGAACTATTAGTGAAGCTTCGTTCACAGTCCCAGCATTTATAGGGCTTCTCTCCAGTGTGAGTCCTTTGATGGGAACGTAAACTTGCACTGTGATTGAAGCTCTGTCCACACTCCAGGCATTTATAAGTTTTTCCCCCAGCGTGAGTCCTTTGATGTGAACGTAGACTTCCACTCTCAGTGAAGCTCTGTCCACACTGTAGGCATTCATAGGGTTTCTCCCCAGTGTGAGTCCTTTGATGTGAACGTAAACGTGTACTGTGAGTGAAGCTCTTTCCACACTCCAGGCATTTATAAGGTTTCTCCCCAGTGTGAGTGCTTTGATGTGAACGCAAAAGTCCTCTCTTAGTGAAGCTCTGTCCACACTCCAGGCATCTATAAGGATTCTCCCCAGTGTGAGTGCTTTGATGTGAACGTAAATGTCCACTGTTAGTGAAGCCCTGCCCACACTCCAGGCATCTATAAGGTTTCTCCCCAGTGTGAGTGTTTTGATGTGCATGTAGACCTCCACTCTGACTGAAGCTCTGCCCACATTCAAAGCATGTATAGGGTTTCTCCCCAGTGTGAGTCCTGTGATGTGAATGTAGATACCCGCTCCTAGTGAAGCTCTGCCCACACTCCAGGCATTTATAGGGTTTCTCCCCAGTGTGAATCCTCTGATGTGAACGTAGATTTGAACTATGATTGAAGCTCTGCCCACACTCCAGGCATTTATGTGGTTTCTCTCCAGTGTGAATCCTCTGATGTGAACGTAGACTTCCATTCTGAGAGAAGCTCTGTCCACATTCCAGGCATTTATGGGGTTTCTCCCCAGTGTGAGTCCTTTCATGTTGCTGCAGATGATCCCTCCGAGCAAAGCTCTTTCCACACTCCAGGCATGTATAGGGCTTCTCCCCAGTGTGAGTCCTTTCATGTTTTTGCAAATGATCCCTCCGGGCGAAGCTCTTTCCGCAGTCCAGGCAAGAATAGGATTTCTTCCCAGTGTGAGTCTTTTCATGTCGCTCCAGGTGATGACTCTGAGCAAAACTGTTTCCACACTCCAGGCATGTATATGTTTTCTCCTTCATGTCAACAGGGATATCAGTAAATTGAAATACAGATACTTGATTCTTCTTTTTTCCTTTCTTATCTGTAAGTAAGATAAAAGAAAATCATCAAGATGGATGGATGGATGGGAGTTTCTCAAGAGTAAAATACTCAAGGCGCAATTGCAAACAGTGCCAACAAAAGAGGAAAAATAGGACAACTGCAAAGAAGCCAGAATGGATGTCCAAAGAACTTCTAACTGGGCTAGACACAAAGGAAACATGCAAAAGAAGTGGAAAAAGAGAGAAATCACCAAAGAAGAATTCAAACAAATAGCCAACTCCTGTAGGGAAAAGATCCGCAAGGCTAAAGCAAAAAACGAGCTCAGGCTTGCCGGGGACATTTAAAACAATAAAAAGGGCTTCTATTCTTATGTCAGTAGAAAAAGGAAAAACAAGGAGGCGATAGGACCTCTTCGCGGAGAAGATGGGGCAATGCTGACAGGGGATAGGGAAAAGGCAGAACTACTTAATGCCTTCTTTGCCTCGGTCTTCTCACAAAAAGAGAGTCTTCAACCTCAGCAAGATGGAGTGGATGAGGGATTGGAGGACATCCAACCCCAAATTGGGAAAGAAATCGTCCAGGAATACCTGGCCGCTCTTAATGAGTTCAAGTCCCTTTTCAGGGCCAGATCAACTACACCCAAGAGTACTGAAGGAACCAGCGGAAGTCATTTCGGAACCATTGGCAACCATCTTTGAGAGTTCTTGGAGAACGGGAGAAG